GTTTTCTTTTACGGATGTGACGCATGGCACATGGCCCATTATCCTTGTCACCAACCCCAAGCACGCTTTATTTGCCATGCCCCTCCACGAACCACTGCACCTCTTGAGGGAATCTTCGCATATCAGGTCAGTTGGATTTATCCGTGCAAATGTATGATGTAAAATGTTTGATATATGATTTTTCATCAGGATGCAGATTACAGATTCTTATTTTATCATATGGTTTATTAAGATTTTTATATATGATTTTAAATGTTTTTTATATATGATTTTAAATGTTTCTGAAAAGTACAGCTGTCAAGACCTATTTCTAATGATTTCTTTTCAATATTTTGCATTCTCCATATTTTGTTGCAGATCTTTTTTACTGGGTTTTCCATTGCGCTGTTAACCTCATTGACAAATTTGTAATGATAGCTCATACTTTTTTATATGTGGAAATTTTATATATCTTTTATCCTCTTTATCAGTTTTTCTTCTATTCTTCCTTCCTTTTCTTCCTTTTTCTACTCCTCCTCCACTTCCTATTCCTCCTCCTTTTTCTCTTCCCTTTTCCCTACCTCTTTCTCCTCCCCCTCCCTTTTGCCATCCCCTTCACTTTTCATTTTCCCTTCTTCCTTCTTGCTTGTTTCCTTCTTTCATATCTCTCTTCTCACTTTTTACCTTTCTCTTGGGTTTATTGTCTCCTGTCTCCTCTCATCTCAAATTTTTGTTTTTTGCTCTTGGCTCTTTACCTACTTCTCCCTCCCTTCTCTACTCCTTGTCCTTTGCATCCTTCTCCATTTGGCTCTCCTCCCTCTCCTCCCCTCCCCCTCCCCCTCTCTTTCTCTTTCTCTGTCTCTGTCTCTCTGTCTGTCTGTCTGTCTCTCTCCCTCTCTCTCCCTCCCTTTCCCTCCCTTTCCCTCCCTCTCCTCCCTCCCTCCCTCCCTCCTCCCTCCCTCCCTCCCTCCCTCTCATTGCTCTTCCCCTTTCTGCCATCTCCATCTCCTCCCCTCCCCCCTCATTCTCATCTACACCTCCTTCATCATTCTCATCATTCATCAATTCAATAGCAGCATTTGTAATGACAAACAATATGTGCCTGTATGTAGACTTTCCCTCAAATATTTACTTCCTTTTTGGAAATCACTTTTTATTTATGTTTTTTTTAATCATTTTCATGCTATGATAATCATCATTACCTTTTCCTTCTTTTTTTTCTCTTTTCAACTTTCACTAAGGACCTATGAATTTAAAGCAAATGTAACCAGAACATTAACCCACTCACAATGGGAGCTCCAGTTGCATTGCTGAACTAAGTGTCAGGGTGCAAGGAGAGTCAGCTATTCAAGGGAAAAATTAGAAGCATGGAAAGCATAATTTCACCATGTCCTCTATGCTTTTTGGTTTCAGCTTAAACAGTTTTTTAGGTAATGAGGCTAAAAAAGAGGCAATGAGCCTATATAGGGGTGTTGTTCCTCCTGAGGGCCAAACAGCAGACAACTGTGTAGCACATGTGACATGACATGTGAGGGTGTTACCCTGGAGTGAGTGGGTTAAAGCTAGGTAAGAAGGTGAAACTGACAATAGCATCATTTAGACAAGGTGCATATTGTCGCTATGAACTACAATGCATGGTTTCCCCAGACATCTGATTCAAGAATGCCTATTTCTTTGGTATGAAAATACAGTAATACACTGTCACATGGCTCTACAAGTCCCATAGATGGCTCCACAAGTACTTAATCATAGAGGAATCAATTACCTGTACTACCCATCTTGCCTGTTTACCCTTTTCCTAGATTTCTGGAAATACTCTGTTTCTTATTTATATTAGTAATGTTAATGACTTTGTAATAATTATTATGTTACATTAAATGCAACAGCATCTATGTTGATAGAATTATTTTAAAAGGAATTTAGGTAAAATCAAATGAGGTCATGTGATTTATGAATTGACTCTTTCGTGGTTAAGCACTTGTGGAGCCATCTATGTATAGGGACATTAAAAAAAAATTAAAGTGAATGCTGTATTTCCTAGGTGACAGTGGGCTAATAAAGTAATGCATCTGATAGAACAGCGAAATGATGTAAAAATATTTCTTTTGGGTACTTCTTTTCTGCAATTGTTGGCATGAGTTATTTATTCTTATTATAGATTATTTTAACATGTATTTGTTTTGGTTCAACAGGGTGCTGATTTGGTCACTAGCTCCCATTGTAGAGGCTAGAGTTAGACTGGATGAGTCCCAGTCGTGGCTTGTACTTTCCCATGTAGAAGGACCATTGTATGTAACTAAATGGAATGCTGAGAGATATGCAGATGGATACATTCACTAGTGGTAAGAAGTTTGATGTTTGGCATTGATATTGTTGTAACCATAATTATTATTATTTTTTATTTACCATTATATGAGTACATGTATTGTCCACTGTTTTTTTGGGTGAATTATATTGGACACAGTGCTCAGCCACAAAGGAGTTAATTAGTAGGCCTTACATGACCTCATCAGAGTTCCTCATGCCTTGAATTTGGAATTTAAAAAAATCTAATGCTAGTGATAATGATACTGTTAATATTATTATTAACATTTGATTATTATAATAATATTTGAATGATAGTAACAAGAAAAAAAATCTCTGAAAATCAAGAAAAAGCTTAACAATGAGATAGGTAGTACTAGTAATAGATTCCTTGGTGACAGCACTTGTGGAGCCTTCTCTGTCAAAATGCATGAATAAGCTAAAATCACAGTGGACCTGCCATTCATGTTATGCCATCCTAGAGTGATGAGAAAGTTATAACCAATTTTAGGTAATGGGGGAAGAAGACACCAACAATCCATCCAGGCTGAAACACTGGCTAAATTGCTGTGTAAGGGCTCTGGCAGATTAGGAAATACTGGCATAGCTAGGTGAAGCTGATGGGCATCCACAGGCTAATGCTAAAAGAAGGAAAGCTAGAAAAGACAAGTATTGGAGATTCAGTAAAGTGTATCTCAGAAAATTATACACAGTACTATAGCAATTTAAGGTCAGTCCTGTGGCTTCAGCCATCTACAGATAACTATATGAAAAACCCTGGTAGTCCCAGAAAATAAAACTGCAATAAGCTGCACAGCATAGCTGTAGCTGCCAACCATCCACAGTTCCTGTCTTTCTTCAAACGGTGTTTGAATAGGAAGTTTCATATATTGAAATTAAGTATATCCTTGTATGTTGCCTATTGTGTGCAATTTGTCAGTGCAATTCCTCAAGGACTGAGAATGAATATAGAGTGCTCTTTTGTTTTATAGATCTTTTGAAAAGTGACATGTTGCTCCTAAAGTGTAAGATTATAATGAAACAGGAAGATGCTATTATATTGTTGCTTACATCTACTCTGTAATTAGAATTACAAAAATAACATCCATGCTGAACATTTGAAGACCTTATTTCTTACATTATTTCCTAAACAGTGTACTAAAGCATATATTTAGATGATACTTTGCAATAGGTATTATAAATAATGATCTGTAAGTAATTTAGATTATATGAGAGGATGTGAATGGTGTGTGAAAATTACTACATCATATAAGGTTATGAACATCTCCTGAGCTTGACAATTGCAGGGGTTTGTAATCAGTCCCACATGAATATTAATGACAAATTGTTTAAAGTCATTTCAGACAAATTGATATATAAGTGGAGCAGTGGTAAAATTAATTTATTACAATTTATTATGATTTTTAAGTATATTTTGATAAAAGCACAATCTTTTTCTTTAAGCATTATGAAATGCATATCAAATTACAGTAGTTTGATATAGATAGTTTAATATGCACTTCATTTAGCAATATAACTTCATTTCAGGTACATGTTAGAGACAGAGATGGACGGGAAAGAACAGTTACCCAGCATTTTCTCTTGACGAATCTCGACCATCATTTAGTTTTTGGCCCAGAGCTCTCTTGATGTCGAATGTCTCAATGTGTGTAAGTTTTGCTTTAAAGATATTGTTTCCTTTTAAAGCTGTTTGGAATGAAATTTAAAGAGATAAATTAATTAGCTTGGTAATAGGTTTGTTTTATTTTGTGTGTACCTTTGCTTGCTCAATAGCATAGTTAAGGGTTTATGCTGTATATGTTAATGCTATAAGAATAAGTAGATATTAGTTCTAGCCTTACGTTTTTTCTGTGCTAGATTTACTGTTAGGTGCATCTGATATCTTTCTAATTTACTGCTTTCAATTGATAGTCAGTTCTGTATTTTGAATTATTCTGTTAATTTACTACAGAGCTAAAAAAAAAGAAGAGAAAAAACAAGAAAGGTCTGTTATGAGGATATTGCAGTTTCATAATTTATTTTCTCCTATGTTTACAGTTCCAATTCCTGTTTGTATCATGGTGTATGTGTGATTCCTCTTGTATACTTCGATACATACATCATTTAGTTCTTGGTAAGCTGATGTATATTTTAAGTTTTGTTTCAACTGAAATGTAAATAATGCATGATTTATTAATAACTTCAAGAGGGATGTATTTTAATGGCACTTTTATGTGAAATTAGATATGAAATATACGCTTTGTACATGTGTAATGTATAATGATGTGATTTTTAAGCCTTTACAGTCCTCCAAATTATGTCTTTTTCTTGTATTTCAGAACGCCGGATGGTACGACCACGTCTTAAGTGGTCATTTGTAACACCATATTACGGAAGCTGTGGGTAATGGTGCAGTGGACAGATCTTTTGGCCTTTAATCCTGACAGCCATATATTTTGCCACTCGGTAGGTTTTTTTTTTCTTTATCTTTCAAGCTTCAGCCATACTAATTCTGCTTGTTCTACATACTCCTCATACTCACCTGTTCTGTTTGGAAGGTCTTTGTTAGTAGGGATAATTTTTGGCAAACAGCTTTAAAGAAATAGATATGGTGACAAAATTCTTAGATTATTATTTTAAAAAAATTATTTGAAAAGGCTTTTCAAATAGAAGAGAAGAGCAGAATGATCATACTGTGGGACACTTAGAAGGAAAAAAAAAAATGAATATGAATAATTGAGAATTGATGATGTTACCTTTATTTCAGGTAAATGGAATATTAAAGAGGTTAACCCACTTACAATGGGTGTCGCACATATGAGACACCTGGAAAAACAAACATTACCCAGCGTCCCGCAGTGTGACACTAGATTAGAGCTTGTGCTCTGATTTTATTGCCCGTGGCGCGTGGCGCGCGGGCAGATTCCTGGACGCGCTGATTGTGAAGCCGCCTGGAGAATATTATTTTTTGCTTAAAAATGTACCGTCGCTAGTGGGTTTATATTAAGAAAGTTTTAGAAGATATCTCTTCAGTTTTTAATGCTGAATACGTTTACTGTGTACTACAAATTTCTTGTTATATCTCCTGCCCCTATTTTCAAATGTAATTGGATGTGTAAATAGAATGATAATATTTATCCAGAATTATAGGACTGGCTGATTTCTTGTAGATATCTTCCATAAAGAATTTACTTAGGGGATATGAAATAGATATTTTAAAAATTTTGCTGTATATATGATCCTTACCCCATTCACGACGGGTACATTTTGTAGCCAAAAATAAAATATTCCGGGTGGCTACAAATCAGCAGGCGGAGCTTCCCCCAGAGTCTTTCCACCCACCGGCCCGTGGCCCGCTGTGTCGGAGCGCATAATATCACAAACTTTCCCTGAGGGTGATTGAGTCATGTGGATTTTAGTCCATTTCCATTGATAAATGTATGTGGAATGTATGTAGGTCACTATTTTCATGCTTAGGATCCTATTCCTGGCTGCTTTGACTGGTGGCACAAATTGTATTACAGAATATTGAACATAGAAAAAAAGACAAATAACAAACTGTTACTTATTGTAATTATAGCTGCACAGAGTTATGGACTATTTAGAGAGATGATAAGGTCTGGGCAAGGGAAACTGTCTATTACCATCTAGATAAAGCAAATAAAATGACAAATATAGATACTGGAAAATGGCAAAAAATCAATTTATGTAGTAAAAGAAAAAACAAAATTGGAAAACGGAAGCATGGTGTCCTTGGTACTGCACATGCATGTTCATATGTGCCTGGCCTACAGGCTGCACATCCGTTAGAGTGGCCACTCACGGAAGTCTATAGTCCGTATTGTTGGTCATTTGATGGCAGTGAAGTATCCGGATCCATGTAAGGAATATACTTTGACAGTATGAAATGTATATTAAGAAAATCTTCCTCATGCTATGTGGCCATAATCTTTCAATTGTTGTTAGAAGAGTTATTAAGTTAATTCGATTTCTAGATCTTACAGACCTTCACAGATACATCATTTATGTACATTCTTTTGCTCTGGAAAATTGCACCTCTTGATAGATAAAGGATACTAGAAATTAAAGTTAGCAACTAATTATGATGCATGCAAGATTGTGAATTCAGCCTTAAAGTTTAAGAAATGGTTTGTAGAATATCCAAAGGTAATATTGCATTTCAACATCATTTGAATACTTATGCCAAGAACACCATTCTATGAAAGGAGACTAGAGTTTTCTGTTTAATAGGCTGTATAGTGCTTATTGCAGGTGTGACAAGCATTACCATATAAGTCATCAAACTTAATATCCTTTAAAGGGCCAATTTTCAGTACCACCATCTAAGGTTCAGTAAAGGTACAAGCCTGGCATCCCTAAATGTTAACAGGGTCATAGCAAAGTATATGTATATATATGCATTAGTCATGGACTGCTACCATTGTACAGTATATTTTAGTTCTTTAAACAGAAGAGGTCTACTTTTTCACATAACATCATACATAACTGTTACTGTTGTGAAAAAAATTATTAAATTTTCCATCTGTTAACCCATCATTGTCACAAGGGTTGAGAATTCATTCCATGTCCACGTCGTTTTTTTGTTTATTGATTGTCTTTACACATGAATACTCTACAAATGCTTAATCACCAAGGAATCAGTTATTTGTCCTACCCTAGCATACCTGTTTACCCTTTTCCTTGACTTTTGGAAAGATTCTTTATTTTTTAATGATATTAGTATTGATAATAGCATTATATAATCATAATGTTAACAACAATAGTAACAACATCATGATTAATAGTTTTAGAAGGATATATATTTTTCTGAAAAGTCCAGCGAAAGATGAAATCAGCTGAGATCACATAGGCTTCCTTATTAGCTCCTTATTAGCTTATAGGTCATAGATCAGAAAAAAAGCAAATGATAGTGAGATTGTGCATTGTTGATTTTTCCTGTTATTTCTTGTAAGATATGCAGTTTTTTTGTTACTATTATTGGTTATTGTTATTGTTTTTATTATTGTTTATTAATTATCATTATTGTTATATTATTTTCATTGTTTATTATTATTTCATTGTTATTATTATTATTGTTAATTATATTATTTTTATTGTTATTGTTATTGTTATTGTCATTATTATTGTTATTATTATTATCATTGTTATTGTTATTAATGTTATAATTATTATTATTATTAGAAGTAATAGTAGTAGTAGTAGTATATTAATAATTAGAATAATGATGATGATGATGATCACAATGATAATGATAATGATAATGGTAATGTGGTGGTGATGGTGGTGGTGATGGTATTATTATTGTTATTATTATTATATTATATTATTATTATTATTATTATTATTATTATTATTATTATTATTATTATTATATCATTATTATTGCTATTATTATTTTGTTTTTGTTATTATTTGTTTTATTATTTTCTTTTTATTCTAATTAACATATTCCTTATTTTTTTTTACAGACATTCAATTGTTTTAATTGTTTTAGCCCATTTAGAGAATTTCATTTTGTAGGATGACGTGTTCATAAAGGCCTTTTTCATCATCACCTAAACAAGGGCTCAGAATATTGACCTTTTACCAGATTTTTTTTCTTTATTTCTTTTTTCATTATAACTGGAAAGTGAATGTATATAAATGTGCAATGTGTGTCTCAAGTTAAATTTTTCTATTATATTTTGTTTTTGAGCAATATTCCCTACTTATCACCTAGCTCTGTATTTGGTGGTGTCTGCAAATGTGAAGGATTGTTGGTATTACCAGACACTGAATGTAGAGAAAATACAACCTGTCCTTATCTCTTTTATGCTTCCTGGATTACAGGGTATGGGTTAGATTTTCTTGCATGATGTATAATCCACAAGTACCCGTGTTGATTTCATACACATTTTTCACTTGATAACCAGCTTTGGATCCATTTATGCTTCATTATGAAGAGCCTTATGTTTTGAAAATATTTCACAGGTTCATCATTATATTCAGGTTGATGGGACAAGTTGTAGATGTTTGTGAGTTTTGCTTATTTTTATTCATTAGATATATGGTAGAGTTATGCATTGATACGGATTTACAATGATTTATATTGATGAAGGGTACCCTACATTAGTCAGAAGTTTTCTTCCATATATTTTGATAATTGTAGATGTTGATTAGATGTGGATTATGCTCAGATTCAGATTTCATTTGAGTAAAAATGAGAGATCATACTTTTTTGACATCTCCCAGACAGTTTTTATAATTCATTTCAGTCAGTATGGTTATCCAACCATTAGATACTCTTGACCATTTCAACATAAGGAATACACAAAACAATGAAGGAATAGGAACAGTATATTTTGACAGTAATGAGCCTTTTTCATTTCTATGTTATAGAAAATTACATTATTACTTAGGAATTTTGTACTGCATACTTTGCAGTTTTTAGGGAGAATGCAGACAGTGATCTGTAATGTGTAAAAGGATGTCATCTATTAATCAACTTTACTATGATATCTACCACATTTCCATGAATGAGAGAGGTAGAATATAACAGAACAAAAGCTTTATTTATTGCAGTTTAGTTTTTCATAGTTTGCATTTTTGATGTCTGATGTAAGTTGAGATATATATCTCATATGTAAAAGATGTGGAGTATTATATTACACTATGTGGAAATATGTAGAGGGAAATCCACTTGGGATTTAGAGGGAAATCTTAGCAGGACATTGGGTAATATAAAAAAATGTTAACCCAATGCTGACAGAAAAATGTTGTGTTCACTTTAGTATTGTTTTGTTAAAGTTTCTGTACATAGATGACTCTGCCAGTGCTTAGCCACAAAGGAGTCAATTAGTAGATCTTGTGACCTCACCTTTCCTTGAAATAGTGGGAAAACATTTTTTTTTATTAATGTTATCAGTATCAACACTGTTATTTTTGTTATGAACTTTATAGTTACTATATTGTTATTGACATCACTGGCAGCAGTATCGAATACTAGAAAATATTATTGAAAATCAAGGAAAAAAATAAACAGGTGAGACAGGTAGTTCTCGTAGTTGGCTCATTGGTGACTCAGTACTTATGGAGCCATCTATATTTCAAAACAATGACTAAATTAAACACACAGTAGGCATGCCATCTCCGGTGGCAAGTGGTTAAAGGGAATTTTTTATTATCTCCATTGTATATACAGTACTTCAATATACTGATTGAGTCCTGTTGAGAATTTGCTGTGGTATGAAAGATCATGATACATTCCCTTTACCTGTTGGCAATGCTTTGTCATATCCTTGTTTTTCATTGACAAGTGATATTTTTTGTTTATGCTCTAGAGTTACCATTTCAGCTTTGCTCTATATTTAGATTTATGTTTTTTTTTAAGTAACAAAATTCAGTACAGTTAGCATCAGTTATAATTTTGTTCAAGAAATCCAGGCTTGTAGCAATTGAGAGTGAAATCCATGAAAGTAATATCATCAACACACTTTGCTTACCTATGTAATCTACACACAGTGCCTATAACATTAGTGAGCCATCCACAACCTGTGGTAAAACAATGGAACAACAGGATATTTTAGTTTCTTCAACCACCATTATCAGTGACATTATTTGCAGAAGCACCAGCTTCACTGAAGGCTATTTTGCATGCTCTACCTCCATGATCAACAATGTTTTTAAATTATTGACAACACCTTCAAAGTCACCCAAGCTTATTTCACTTTCATTATCAACGAACAGATTCATCTAAATTTCTTATTCAAATGTCCTTTATGGATAGCAGTAATTGATGATATATTTTTTATAATTATGTTGCTACACTACCTCTGTCTGTTAATGGATACAATGAAAAACTTACATTTTGGGAAAGAAATAGGCACACAAGTATGCCAAATCCATAAAAGATCAGATCTCTGATTGATACCATTTGTGTTTTTATTCACAGAAAATCCAAAATCACTTTGATTTGTGTGGACTAACAGATGTATTGTTTTTATATTAGCTGCAACCAAAAAGACATGATCATATAAAGGTTTCAGTTATGGATCTAAGGGATGTCTCCTGATGATTTGATGTGCTTTAGTTCATTTTCCCACCTAAAACTTAATCAATACTCAAAATATTGGAACACAGAAAGCACAGTGATGCAAAAGCATATAACGTATGTTGCATATTTAGTGATTTGAAAGAAGGTCAAACACATTTTTTAACGCTGCTGTACTGTATATTGTAAATGTGATCATATTACTTATTTGGTTTGCATACAGTATATATTCATGTATACATTGCAGGACCCTGGTTTGTTGGGGAAGTGATTGAAGACCATATTGGTGTGGATTTGCATGGGGGACCTTTGTCAACAGAAGCTACCTACCTGGGTCTCTCACTTATGCCTATGGATTCTTTCAGGTAAGGAAGTATTATCTGTGACTGTTAATGAACATCATATGTGCTTAGTTGAGAAAAGGTATTTATGATTTAGTGAATTATTCAGAATGGCAAATTTTATTAAGATTAATTTCTTATTCATTTCAGATGGTGGTCTTCCAAGTACCACTCATTATGGCAGTTTCCCATTGCATTGACCTACGGTAAATTACAATATTCTGAATTTTTTGTCAGAACACCTTGGACAGGATGAGGAAAATTCTTTAATAAATATTTCCATCTTTTGACAGTTGTAGACTGTTTTAGTAGCTTATAATATTGTACTTTATAGATGTACCTCACCCTAACTTAACAGATTTTCATGCAATGGCAAAATCCTAATGAAGCAGTTCAGTGTGTTAAATCTGAATGTCCAGAATCTCAGTACATATCTAGCTTTGGAGAGAAGGATGACATTGTGTCACCATGAAGAAGTGTAGAAAATTATATTATTGGTAATGCTGTTTTTTATTCAACTTCATTCTTATCATTTAGATATATTTTCCCCCTTTTTAACCCACTCACGCCGGGTGTCCCATATCTGAGACACCTGAAAAAAATAAACACTCCGCACGTCCCGCCAGTGTGTTGCTGTGTCGGGGTCGCGCTCTGACTCAGCAGTGGGCTGCGACCGGCGGGCGGACAGACTCCGGGGAAGCTCTGCCCACTGATTGTTGTAGCTGCCTGGATTTTTTTATTTTGGCTACAAAATGCACCCGGCGTGACTGGTTTAAACTAAAAATTACTTTCAAAAGTGGTCAGGAATATTATCCCATAACTCAATATCCCATGTCCCTGGGATATTGAGCTATGGTCCAGTAGTTTGTTCAGCAGTGAATTATATTTGTTGTCATTCATACTTATACGTACAAAGTTGGATACAGAATGTGATTTATATGTCATGTTTTATACTTATATATGTATTTGATTTTTTCAGATTTCGGTCATTGTACATAAGCCCCATCTGCAGTTTCCCCCAGTACCTTTGGCGACATATTTGTTTGCTGATAATTATTACAAGTCAGGTAGGACTATTTTTAGATTTTTGTTTCAGAAGTTGCTTTAATACATTTACTCACTTTGGATGTGATTATTGAGACAAATAAAATAATAAATCCCATAGAAGTTTACTGAATTTATAAGCATTAATGTTCTTTTTTGCTTGGGAGAAACACACTTAATATATAGAGATTTTGATTAGCCATTAGATATCAGGAATTGTCTTCATTTCTTTTAAACACTTGTTGCATGCCATGCTAACTGTGTATTTCATTTAGCAATTGTTTTGAAATATAGATGGCTCCATAAGTACTAAATCACCAATGAGCCAATTATGAGAACAACCTGTCTCATCTGTTTGCCCTTTTCCTTGATTTATGATAATATATTTTAGTATTGATAATGCTGTTAGTAATGTCAATAACAATATAGCGATTATAAAACTTATAACAAAAATAACAGTGTCAGTATTGATAGCATTAGTTCAAAATAGTGTTTTCCAGCTATTTCAAGGAAAGGTGAGGTCACAAGATCTAATTGACTCCTTGTGGCTAAGCACTGGCAGAGGCATCTGTATACAGAAACATTTAACAAAACAAAACTAAGTTAATGCAATATTTTCCCATCAGCATGGGGTTAATTTTGTTAGCCTTTTATGTGGAAAATATTGATTATTTCTAGTCTAAATTATCAGCACTTTCATCCTTCACTGAAACCTGTAAATTCTATGCTTTGGTTTTATCCTGTACTGAAACCTATAAATTCTAAGGTTTGTTTAAGAAGTAATATGATGTTGAGATTTGTCTTGCTCTTGATATTATTTTGTAGTGTGTTTCCTAGATCACTGAGGCAGTAATTATTAGTTGATTGTTGTTTGACTTGTTAAATCATAATGAAAACTAAATATATAGTTATTGAAATATATGACTGGGATAGGAAAAAACAAAAAAACACATTTCCAGAATTTTGTTGAAAATCCATTTATTGTACCCTTTTTCACTTGAGTCTGTAAGAGATTCTGATGATCATTTGAATTTGTAGGCTTATTTTCAGTAAAAAAGCTCTTCTAGATACTATCTATTTTACTTGTATCTTTATTGTCTTCTTAAATTAGAGTCATAGAACTTGTAGGTATTTCACTGGAAATTAAATGCCTGATTGGTATTGCTTTACTTTTCAGATGATCTCAGCTTACTTCTTTTGGTTGGCGTATGGCACGATGGCACCTCCTGGGCCCTTTGCGCACATGTCGGCAATTGTTGGACTAGTTTTATGGTACCAGGCAGCCACTGCTCATAAGAACCTTCTTAGGTGAATTGATAAGAAATGTTATTTTACTGTTATTGTTTAGATTTGATGTGTGTTAACCTTGAAATGATTTCTCAAAGATTCATCAGGCAGAATGTTAAATGTGAGATTCCATGCTCTTTGATTTTGGTTATGTCTGCTTGTACAGATGATGGTGGATAGATGCTAACGTATGCTGATTTATACCGTGTGTACTTCATTTTGATTTATTTACAATATGGCATCTTGATGGTGGTAATATAATCCAAACTGAGCTGCAGTAGAGGCAATACACACATTGTTTTTAAATTGCCATGGTTGTTTTGATTGTTTTGGTGAATATATACAGGTATCCATACATTTTGATCTATTAGGTAAGTCGGTGAATCACATTTTTTATTGTTGTTTCAGAGGAGCAGCTCAAATATGGATCCAAGACAGCAGAGCTTGGAAGCAGAGGAGAATGACTTCACAAAAAATGCTGGAAGTGTTGATGATGTTACACAGAGCTCTCTTTGACTTCAGCATTTATTATTATTCTATAGATTGAATTCTTTAGAAAATCATACACATGTAAAATTATCCAGTCTTTATTATAGTTTTCTTATACATGGAAGTCCCTGATACTAAGCAAACTTATGAGTGTAAACTTACACTGAAATTCTATGATAGGAAGATTATGATATATTTGATCTAACCATAGCATAAAGCCAAAGTGCTTTCTGTAGAATTTGGTTGTCTGTCAAAGGCAAAGATATGACAAAGGCTAGTTAGTCAGTCATTTTTTAAAGTTTATTTTATGTATTTATTTATATATTTGATTTATAATTTATTTATTGTGTGTTTGTTCACATTTTTGGCAATTGCTTCCAGTGGTTGCATCCTCTGTAAGCTCTGTATTTCAGATACTTTTGTGCCCTTTTTTCCTCGTTGTCTCTTCTTCCTCTCGTTCATTTTCACCCAGTCCATGTTTTCCTTCATGGCTTTTTTCTTTTTATTATTTCTTAATCTATTTTATTATTTTTAATAATCAGATTTGGCAGTAATTTAATACATGCCAAATTGATTATGGAAGAGCCTTTAAATTCTCATAAAATATTATATTACTGCTTATATCCCTTTCGTATCCCTATTTTTCATAATTGACATGCTATGCATGAATACTAATCTAGTTTTGAGGGTTGTAATTTGAAAGTAATTTGTGATTATTAAATCAACATTCCAAAAGATAATATGTTAGAGGAGAGATAATTGTGTTTAGGATAAGTAAGAGCTATGGTACAACCATGTACTGAAAATTGATCCAAGCAGTTGAGAATATATATAGCACAAAAGCCTCAGTTGACTAGCACAAGGGTTAAATATTGCTTGTAAAGAGTTCAATAATCTTTGAATTAGTAATACAGTAACCCCACCAAATTATAAATATGACCTTTGAAATAGGGATTAAACTAATAATGAGTATCCATGATAATAAACATCAACTTGACTCTTCCCTTTATCCTGTGTGCCAAAAAGTAAGCACAGACTTCTTGCCATGTGCATGTATTTTTTTCATACAAATTGACTGAAAATACTGTATACCTGAGAAAAGTTGTATATGCCATAAAGATATATTCAGTAATAAAGTGAACTCATTGGAAAGGAAATATCTTGATGTGATCAAAAATAATTTTCAGAATTATTTTGTAAGCTTTAAAGAATTATGTTTATAAAAGATGGCCTGAAACTCCATTATAATGGTATGTATATATATGTTAAAGTGATATCAAAATATGTTTAGAGATACTATGAGTGTTGTGTGTGAAAGTTTTAAATTTTATGAGCCATTTTCAACATTTTCTTTAGTATCACATAAGTGTATGTTTACCATGTTTGATAATGAAAGGACATTGTGTCTGTTAAGTGTCTAAGTAGAAAAAGACTGTACACTAATTCTGAAATGAAGCATTTGTATGAAGCAAATAAGTAAACTGAGGTTCCAGACATGCATGGTGTCAATTTGTAATGAAATAGTGGTGTTGGCATTAGGTTATGCATTTATGAAAAAAAAAGTTTTTAATACTATATCAAATCAGTGTTAAGAAGGAAACAGATTTTGGTTAAAAAAAAGATGCCAAGTAATATATACTGACACTCCTTGGCATATAGAACATAAAAACAAAATATAATTATGTTTCAGGTTTACCAGTAAACACATTCTGCATATACTCTCATATTGGATAATATATATAATAATATATAACTATGAGACTGTCAGTGTTTTAAAGTTATAGACTTATATCGAGTCTGAATTATGTATCTGGCATCTGGTTAGATAACACATTGCATTTGATTCTTGGTGCTGCTCTCTGTTCATGCTACCCAGATTTCATACAAAATAGAAACAAAGTTGGTGTGACATTTTTATCTAAAAAGTAATTTAAGTCTAATTTCTTTCTTTGTGAATACATACATGCACACGCACACATGCACACAGACAGACACACACACACACACCACACACACACAACACACACACACACACACACACAACACACCACACACACACACACACACACACACACACACACACCACACACACACACACAACCACACACACACACACACACACATATATATATGCACTCATACACACGTATCACACATACACACGTATGCACGCATACACACGTATTCACACACACATGTGTGCACACACATACGTACACGCATGCACGCACATACGCTTACACGCTTACACAACCTGCACACTTGCACACGCTTACATGCTTACATGCTTACATACTTACATGCGTACATGCTTACATGATTACACGCTTACACACTTACACGCTTACACGCTTACACGCTTACATGCATACACGCTTACATCGGCGTGCATGCGCACCCCCCCCCACACACACACACACGTTTATAATATGTATGTATATGTATGAAGTGGGGCATCTGCTATGCCAACTCAAAAATGCTGTCCCCATGAAAGTTAGTCTTATGGGAAGAGCAAACTGTCTTAGTATCCATCCTAGTAATATGTTACTGTTTGGAATGAACCTACCTCCTTTATTACAATCCTAAATAAAACTGTTGTAATGCAGCACTGTTCATAATATGATAAATTTGATGCTTGACTAATTATTTAATGTTTTTTCTCCATGGTATTATGATTTAAAAATTTCAGAATCATATACAAATTCAAATATAATTGTAAAAATGTGTAATGGAGATACTTATATTAACTTACTGTTAATTAACTGACTGTGTAACACTTTCATAGACATATTTTTGTTAGTATTTTGTGTGATACATTTACAGTAAAAGTCTGTAAAGGTCTTTTAAATTATGGAAAAAAATAAGTTACACCATTATTTTGTAGTTTTACATTTAGTTACCAGATTTTTTTATTTAATTTATTGATAATTGTCTATGCAAGTGAATTAGGAATAATATACTAGGCATCTATTCAAGTGATACATATTTCCTTGTATAGGAGAGAATGTTTTTATGTCATGTATGTGACATATAGCAGAAGGTGTATCATATATATACAAGTGATCCCCATTATTTGTTGCCAATTATTCATCATTTCACTCTTTCGTTACTGATGTTTTTGGATGTATTGTTAATTTGTGTTTCACTCTTTCATCATTCAGGTTTCGAAAGTTCACACATATGTCCACAAAAAAAAGAAAAAAAAAAAATAAGAAATAAGATAAAACAGACTGATGCTTTGCAGTTGATATTGGATTATTTTTTGTGTAATTAAAAAGATATATTAGAATATTCTAGAAAATTTTCAGCCAATCTGACAACATTCAGCAGACTCTAGGAAAAATGAGCAAAAATAGATATGCTATTAGTAATTTACTAATTTAGTAATTTATAGATAATGGGTCTACCAGAAAGGTGTGCACATACATGCATTACTCACATAAGTATTTTTAGCCAAAAGAAGTCAGAAATATGGTATCACTTAACCCAGTCACACCGGGTACATTTTGTAGCCAAAATTTAAAAAATCCGGGCGGCTACAAAATCGGCGGGCGGAGCTTCCCCAGAGTCTGTCCGCCCGCCGCCGGCGCCGCTTCTGCCTCGGAGCGTAGCCCCGAGATTGTTTATTTTTCCCGGTGTCTCATATATGTGACACCCGGGACGAATGGTTAACATTCTGGGGTATCATAGACTAGCCCCCCTAACTTCAGTTAGGGGGGCAATCTCCAAGCTGGAGAGTGGTAAAGCAGCAGGTATATGCGACATCCCAGCTGTGGTGAACCTATGGCGTGTGGGTTGCATGCTGTCCTGCCTGCCATCTGGCGGTCTGGTACTGTTCCCCTTGACCTGTTGAGGGGTGTGGTCATCCCTCTTGTGAAGAGGAAGGGGGACCGATGGGACTGCAACAATCACCGAGGCATCCTACTGCTCAGTATACCAGCCAAGGATCTTGCCCACATCCTACTGAGACATATCAGAGACCACCTACTGAGGCATCAGAGGCCAGAGCAATCTGGATTCACTCCTGTTAAGTCCATAATTGACTGTATCCTTGTGATTTGAGTCAATTGCAGCCTACATCAGCCTCAAGAAAGTTTTTGATATGGTGCATTTGGGAATCACTCTGGGAGATCCTGAGACTGAGAGTAATTCCAACAAAGATTGTTGGACTAATTGCAAGTCTGTATACTGGTACTGAAAGTGCTGTACAGTGTTGTGGGGGTCTGTCCAGCTTCTTTCCTGTTAATTCAGGAGTGAGGCAAGGCTGTGTCCTTGCATTAACATTTTTCAACACTTGCATGGACTGGATAATGGGCAGAGCTACTGTTCAAAGTCATTGTGGAGCAACTCTGGGAAATATCAAGATTACCGACCTTGACTTTTCTGATGATGTTGCTTTTCTATCTGAGTCCTTGGAATCATTAGTGGTGGCTCTGGATGCATTTAG